GTTTTGTCCTGCACTCCCCTCCCCTTTTATTGTAAGCCGCCCTGAGTCCCCTCAGGGAAAAGGGCGGCCTATAAATGTTTAATAAAACTAAAAAACTAAAACTCAGTTCAGCATTTTTTAAAGCCATTTTTCACCCTCCCTAGGCTCCAGAGGCTTTATAAGAGCCTGGGGAGGGCAAAAAGAGCCTCCCTGCCCCCCCCCCCGGAGGCTTCAGGAGCTTCCCTGAAGCCTCTGGAGTACAAAAAAACCCGGTCCTATGGGAAAAGGGGAAGTTCGGGAACAGACTTCTGGTTTGCTTGTAGGGTCGATTTAAGCCCTCCGGAAGCTTCAGGGGAGCCTCCTGAAGGTCCCTGAAGCAAAAAGAGCCTCCCTGCCCCCCCGGAGGCCCTCCGGAGGCTTCAGGGGAGCTCCTGAAGCCTCTGGAGTACAAAAAAACCAGGTCCTATTGGAAAATGGGAAGTTCAGGAACAGACTTCTGGTTTGCTTGTAGGGTCGATTTAAGCCCTCCGGAAGCTTCAGGGAAGCCTCCTGAAGGTCCCTGAAGCCTCCGGAGGGCCTCCGGGGGGCGGGGGAGGCTGTTTTTGCCCTCCCCAGGCTCCTATAAAGCCTCTGGAGACTAGGGAGGGTGAAAAGAGCTTGCAAAAAATGGGGGGAGTGCCTGTCATGCGTGCATGCACACTGGGGGAGGTTGTGCATTGCATTATGGGTGTATGCATGACCCCCCTGCACTCCCCCCACTTATGGCACACGAGCCAAAAAGTTTCACCATCGTTGTTATAGTCAATCTGCCGTAATATGACATACCAAATTTTGAAGTCTGACATCTGAAATCATGACAATTTATAGTTTTTAATTAAAAAATATTGGTAAGACATTTTAGTAAACCAGTGTATTTTTTTGCTTATACTGATCACTGCCATTTTCTATAAAAGAAAGTAATTTAGAAGCATTTTTGTGCATTATAAAAAATTAGCACCTCCATTACATATTTCAACATTAACCTCATTCAAGAACAATCAATAAAGGAGATAAAATGCTTCTGTTGAAATTCTTAAAACACAATACTTGAGGATTCCAGTGATGACATGATTGATGACATCACAAAACTGTCTTTGTGGTTGAATCTAACACAGTTTTACTTCATTAAGTAGTAATGGTAGTATATAGTAGAAGTAGGACCATGGCAGAGAGGAATGAAGCCCATTTTTTATAAGATCATTCATTAGAATAAGGATTAAATCCTCTCTTAGATCATTTTTTTAAATTCTTCCTTCCCTTTAAGATCCAGCTAAATCAAAAAATTTTCCTCATCATGGGATCAAGTAATTTTCCGAGGTTCAGGTCTGATTTCAGCTTTACAAATTCTGAAGATCGTCTTTTTCTCCGAGAATCATTAGAAACTGTAGCCAGTTCCTTGACATTTACTGCAAATGACATCTGTATAGAAGAGAGGGGCAGTGAGTGTCTGGAAGATGCATGGAATGAGAACAATTTGGAGAATTATAGTGAGGAAAACATGGAACAATTGCAGAATAATAGCCAAGAAATAGAATACGAAAATCTTTATATATCTGATGAGATAAGGAATCAAATCAATGAAAAGAATAAAAAGGCCTTGGAAGCCCTAGCTAAAGTTGAACTTCAAAAAGCTGTTGATCTATTCTCTGAAGCTATTGAGTTCAACCCACACATTTCTAGTTCTTACATCAACCGTGCCAATGTCTATCTGCAATTGGAAAAACCAAATGCTGCTATTAAAGATTGCAATATAGCCATTGAACTGAATCCCAAATCATCAGAAACATTAAAATTGAGAGGAAAAGCATTCAAGAAATTAGGCTGTTTAAAAAAAGCAGCCCATGATTTTGTTTTAGCTTCTAAGCTAGAATATGATAAAGAGGCCAATTCAGTACTAAATGAATTAAAATCAGGATTTCAAAGAATTTCTGAAAGGCAAGCGAAGTGCATCCTTACATATAAGAAATCTGAGATACTGGAGAAGATTAAGAAAGCACAGATAATTTTAGAGGATCAAAAACAAGACCAGAGAGAGGAAAGTATTAGCATAGAACTGGAGAACAAAGTAGCAAGGAATAAAGAAGAGAAAGTGAAGCTAGACCATAATAAAGACTCCCAGGAAATAATATATGAAAATGTGCAGACAGATGAGAAATGGAAGCAGACGAGTGAAAACAAGAAAGCAGCTTTGGATGCAATGGAGAAAGGTGAATATAAAAAAGCAGCTGAGTTATTCACCAAAGCTATCAAACTAAACCCCCATATTACTAACTTGTATATTTGCCGAGCCAGTTCTTTTCTGAAACTTCATATGCCAATTGCTGCTATAAAGGATTGTAACAATGCCATAAAATTAAATCCTGGTGTGGCCTTACCATACAAGTGCCGTGGAGAGGCATTTTGCATGTTGGGTTATTGGCAGGAGGCTACTAAAGATTTCTCTGTGTCCTGTCAACTAGATTATGATGAAGATACTTATGCCAAGATGAAAGAAATGCAAACAGAAAATGAGAAAGTTATTAAATGGTGGACAAACCCAGATGAAAGAAGTAATCAGAGAGAATTTAAAGAGAAGATAAGCAAAATGAAAGAAGCTTCTGGGAAAACACAAGGAAATGATCCCCAAGATAAATCAGTTATTCATGAGTCTTGCAAAAAAGAACTGGATCCAAGAACATTTCACATTTCTGAGGAAAAAACAATTCTGCATAATTCCCAAAACTATAAAATATTCCCTCTTTATTGTTCAGAGGGTCAAAATGAAACTTATCCCATGTCTGCAGTACAAGACCAAGATCAGTTTATGGATTATGAAAAACAAGAGCACGTTGAACTGCATGAAAGAAGGGCTCAGAAAGGACCCACGAGGAAGCAAAAATATGAAACCGAATCAGAAAGTGAGGATAGTGAATTGGAAATTGATACTGAAGAAGTTATTGAGTCAGATGAAGATTTTCCTCAGGAGATGGGAAATGAAAATTTGAAAGTAACTGATGAAATGAGAAAACTAGCCAATGAAAAGAAGAGAGAAGCTTTTGATGCAGTCAATAAAGGAGAACTTTTTAAAGCTTTAGATTTGTTCACAGAAGCTATTAAGCTCAATCCACATCTTACTATCTTATACGCAAACCGAGCCAGGGTCTATCTGAAGCTACAAAAGCCAACTGCTGCAATTAGGGACTGTGATAAAGCCATACAAATAAACCCTGACTCAGCCCAGCCCTACAAGTGGCGAGGAAAAGCACTGAAAATACTTGGTTACTGGCAAAAGGCAGCTAAAGACCTTGCTTTGGCCTGTCAATTAGATTACGATGAAGAATCCTATGCTTTGCTAAAAGAGGTACAACCAAAGGCTCAGAAAATTGCCAGGCTCAGGAGAAAGCAGGAACAGAAAGTTGATGAAAAGAAGAATAAGAGTCTTTTGAGTGAACTTCAAAAAACTTGTAAGAAGCAACAAAGATCTCAAATGACATCTGCAGAATTAGGAAGAAATGACAAGGACATTGTGGAGAAATGGAGAGAAAATTGGGGGGGAAACACCAAAGAACAACAAAGAGTAATAGTTCTGACAAAACAGAAGAGCATGGCCCAAGACAACAGAGGGACATGCTTTCAGGAAAGCAAAAGGAAACACGGTAACTTTTTTGAGAAGGAGGAAGAGGAAGAAATAGAAGAGGAGGAGGAACAACAACAACAACAAGAAAAATTCCAAGAGAATTTACTAAAAGAACAAGAGAACCTTAAACAGAAAGAAATGAAACACCAAGTTCATCAGAATGAATTGGAGGAACAAGTAAGAGCTCTTCAGCAAGAATTGGATGAAAAATTCAAAAGTTATCAAGAAGAAATTGATGAAGAAAGCACTTGGCGGAGATTATTAGATGAGCAGGAAAAGTCACAGCAAAAGGCACTCTGTGAACAAGAACAAGCTTTTAAAACAATCTTGGAAGAACAAGAAAAAATACAGAAGGCAACCTTGAGGGAACTGGCCAGCGCTCAACAACAGGCTTTAGACGAGCTTGAAAAAGTCACAAAAAAAACCCTGGAAGAACAAGAGAGAGTTCAGCAGCAAGCTCTTGAAGAACAGGAAAAAGCACAAGAGGCCCTGGATGCTCTGGAAAGAGCACATAACAGGGCTTTGGAAGAACAAAAAAAAGTCCTTATAGCTGCAATGGAAGAACAGGAGTACGCTCAGAGAAAGTCGCAGGAAGAAAAAAGGATGACTGAGGCAGCTTTAGAAAAACTTGCAGAAGCTCAAAGAAAGGTCCAAAAACAGCAGGAAAGAGCTGAGAGGCAAGTTAAAGAAGAAAGAGAGAAAGCACAAAGAGCTTTAGAAGAATTAGAGATTGCTCAGAAAAAGGCTTTGGAAGATAAGAAAAAAGCTGAGAAAACTCTGGAAACTGTAGAAAGAGCCCACAGACAGGCTTTAGAGGAACAAAGAAAAATGCAGGTGGTTGCTGAACAACAGCAAGCAAAAGAAAGTTACCTAGAAGAAAAAAAGCTGACTGAAGCCACCATGAAACAACTTTCAAGGATGCAAAAAGAATTTTATGAGGGACAAGAAAGTTCAGAAAAGAAAGCAGTAAAAGAGAGAGAAAGTGGTCAGAAAGCCATAGAAGAATTGGAAATTGCTAAAAAGGCAGCCCTAGAGGAACAAGCAAGAGCTCAAAAAGCTCTAGAAACTTTAGAAAAATCTCATATGTGGGCATTAGGCCAACAGAAGAAAGCACAGGAAAATATTCTAAAAGAAATGTTGATGGGAGAAGTAGCTGAGGAACACTTCTCAGCAGTTCAGAACAAAGTCCAAGAAGGGGGAAAGAATTGGAAGGTGGCCAAAGAAGAAAGAGAAAGAACTGATAAATCCCTAGAAGAATTAGCTCTGGAAAACTTAGAAATTGGTCATAAAAAGGCCTTAGAGGAAAAAAAGAAAATATATGAAGAAAAAAAGGAGTTGGTGGAAGAAGCTCTGGGAAACACTTCTGTGGCTCAGATAAAGGAACAGGAAAAGCAGAAAAGATCTGAGAAAAAGGTAATGGAAGAAAGTCAGAATGCACAAAACACTTTAAAAGAATCAGAGATTCTTCAGAGGAAAACTATAATGGGACAGGAAAGACAGAACATAGGTAAGACCCTCAAAGAATTAGAGATTTCTGAAAATAAATTTCTGGAAGATCAAGACAGAGATCAGAATGCTCTGGAAGTAGTAGAAATAGCAAAAATGACAGCGTCAGAACAAAACATAGCATTAATGGAAGTACAAGAACAAACAAGGGGGGGGAATCCAGAAAATAAGTCTGAAGCTGATCTGGAAGAAATATCCATGGCTCACAGAAAAATCCAAAAAGAACAGAGAAGAGGTAACAGAAACATCATTGAGGAAAGTGTGCAAATATCAAAGGCCCTTAAAAAAGTTGAAAATGTGCAAAATAATTTCCTAGAGGAACAAGAAAGTGACCAAGGCACTCTGGAAATTATAGAAAATGCTCACACAAAGATTCTGAAAGAGCAAAAAGGTGTTCAGACAGCATTGATGGAAGGGCCAGAACAAATAAGGGGAAAAATTCAAGAAGAAAAGAAGATGGCTGAGGTAGCCCTGGAAGAGCTTTTCAGAACTCAAAAAAAAATTCAAGAAGAGCGAGAAGAAGCTGGTAAAAAAATGCTGAAAGAAAGAGAGATCATACAAAAGGCCCTTGATGAATTGGAGATTGCTAAAAAGAAATGTCTTGAGGAACAGGAAAGAGCTCAGAATGCTATGGAAGCTTTAGAAAGGACTCATATAAAAGCCCTGGAGGAACAGAAGGAAGCTCAGAGAGCAGTGATGGAAGAACAAGAACAAATAAGGAAAAAAATTCAGGAAGAAAAGAAGATGGTTGAAGTAGCCCTGGAAGAGCTTTTCAGGAATCAGAAGAAGTCCCAGGAAGAGCAGGTAAGGGCTCAGATGAAAGCAATGGAAGAAAGAGAAGCTATACAAAAAACCCTAAAAGAAGTAGAAGTGATGCAAAACAAAGTCCTAGAAAAAGAGAAAAGAACTCAGAATGCATTGGAAGCTGTAGAAGAAATGCGTAAACAGGCTTTAGAGGAGCTGAACAAAGCTAAGAGAACTGCCACAGAAGAACAGGAACAAGAATGGAAAAGAATTCAGGAAGAAAAGAAAATAGTTTTGCTGGCCCAGGAAGACCTTGTCAAGACTCAGAAGACAGTACAAGAAGAGAGACAAAGGGCTGAAAACAAAGCAGCAGCAGAAAGACAGTTAGCTGACAAAAACCTTAAGGAATTACAAATTGCTCATAAGAAAGCACTGGAAGAACAGGGGAAAGTTCAGAAAGCTTTGGAAGATGTAGAAAAAGCTCATAAAAAAGTGTTGGAAGAACAAAAGAAAGCTCAAATGGCTGTGATACAAGAACAGGAAAAAATTTGGAAAAAATCTGAAGAAGAAAAGAAGATGGCTGAGGAAGCCTTAGAAAAATTGTCAAAGATTCAGAGACAGATTCAAGAACAGCAGGAAGAAAAAGCCTCTGAAAGAAATGCTCAGGAAGCCTTAAAAAAATATGAGTTTGCTCAAAAAGTGGCTATGGAGGAACAGGAAAGAGCAGCAGAAGCTCTGGAAGCTGTGGAAAAAGCTCATAAACAGGCACTGGAGGAACAGAAGAAATCTCAGATGGCTGCCATAGAAGAACAAGAAAAACTGAGGAAAAGGTCTGAAGAAGAAAAGAAGATGGCTGAAGCTGCCCTAGAAGAAGTTTTCAAAACTCAGAAGAAACTCCAAGAAGAACAGGAAAAAGCTGAAAAAACAGCAATGGAAGAGAGAGAGAAAGTTCAGAAGAATCTAGACGAATTACAAACTATTAAAAAAAAAGTCCTTGAGGAACAGAAACAGGCTCAGAAGGCTCTGGAAGAAGTAGAAATAACTCATCGACGGGCTATGGAGAAGCAGAAGGCAGCTCATGTGGCAGCCATGAAGGAACAGGAGCAAGGATGGGAAAAAATGAAAGAAGAAAAGCAAAGGATGAAGGCAGCTCTGGAAGAGCTTTTAAGGACACAGCAACAGTTCCAAAAAGAGCAGGAAATGGCTGAAGAGAAAGCAATGCAAGAAAAAAAGATAGCTCAAGAAACCCTTGGAGAATTAGAGATTGCTCAAAAACAAGCTCTTGAAGAACAAATGAGAGCTCAAGAAGCTTTGGAAAATGTAGAAAAAGCTCATAAACAGGTATTACAAGAGCAAAAGAAAGCTCAGATGGCTGCCATTGAAGAATGTGAACAGGCACGGAAAGAAGCGGAAGAAGAAAAGAAGAGGGCTGAGGCAGCTTTAGAAAAACTTGCACAAGCTAAAATGAAAATGCGAGAGGAATATAAACAGGCTGAGAAGAATGCAATGCAAGAAAGAGAGAAAGCTCAGAAGGCCTTAGAAGAATTACACATTCTTCAAAGGAAAGCCATTGAGAAAAAGAATCAGAGTCAGCAGTCCCTGGAAGCAGTAGAAATAGCTCATCAACAGGCTGTGGAGGAGCAGAAAAAGGCTCATCGGGAAGCCATGGAGGAACTGGAAAAAGAATGGGAAAAAATGAAAGAAGAAAAGAAAAGGATGGAGGCAGCAGTGGAAGAGTTTTTAAGGATACAACAACAGTTTAAAAAAGAGAAGGAAATGGCTGAAGAGAAAGCAATACAAGAAAAAAAGATAGCCCAAAAGACCCTCAGAGAATTAGAGATTGCTCAAAAACAAGCTCTTGAAGAACAAATAAGAGCTCAAGAAGCTTTGGAAAATGTAGAAAAAGCTCATAAACAGGCACTACAAGAACAGATGAAAGCTCAGATGGCTGCCATTGAAGAATGTGAACAGGCACGGAAAGAAGCAGAAGAAGAAAAGAAAAGTGCTGAAGCAGTTTTAGATAAACTTGTACAAGCTGAGATGAAAATGCAAGAGGAACATAAGCAGGCTGAGAAGAATGCAATGCAAGAAAGAGAGAAAGCTCAAAAGGCCCTAGAAGAATTAAAGATTGCTCAGAAAAAGGCCCGAGAGGAGCAGATAAGAGCTCAAAATGCCCTGGAAGCAATAGAAAAAAGTCATAAACAGACTTTAGAGGAACAAAAAAAAGCTCAAATGGCTGCATTGGAAGAACAGGAACAAGCATTTAAAATATCTCAAGAAGAAAGGATGAGAGCTGAAGCAGCCCTGGAAAAACTGTCACAATACCAAAAAAAAGTCCAAGAAGAGCAGGAAAAGGCTGAAAAGAAAGTCCTAAAAGAAAAAGAGGAAGCACAAAAGGCTCTCCAAAAATTAGAAATTGCTCAGAAGAAAATGTTAGAGGAACAGAAGAAAACTCAGATGTCTGCCATTGAAGAACTTGAGCAAGCACGGAAAAAATCTGAAGAGGAAAAGAAGATGGCTGAGGTTGCTTTGGAAAAACTGTCAAGCATTGAGAGAAAAGTGCAAACAGAACAGAAAAGAGCTAAGGAAAAAAACATGGAAGAAAGACAAAGAATTCAAAAGGCCCTAGAAGAATTGCAGATTGAACAGAAGAAAGCCATAGAGGAATGTACAAAAGCTCAAAAAACTCTGGAAGCTCTTGAAAAAGCTCAAAAAGAGGACCTGGAAGTACAGATGAAAGCTAAAATGGCTGCCATCTATGAACAGGAGCAAGCACGGAAGAAATCTCAAGAAGAAAAAAAGATGGCCGAAGCTGCTTTGGAAAATGTTTTAAGAGCTCAGAAAAAACTTCAAGAAGAGCAGGAAATTGCCAGGGGGAAAATTATGGAAGAAAAAGAGAATATACAGAGGGGCCTCAAAGAATTAGCAATTGCTCAAAAGAAAGCACTCGAGGAACAGGAAAGAGCTCAGAGTGCTCTAGCAGCTATAGAAAGATGTCATAAAATGGCCCTGGAAGATCAAAGAAGAGCTCAGATAGCAACAATGGAAGAACGAGAACAAACAAGGAAAAAAATTCAGGAAGAAAGGAAGATAGCTGAAGCAGTCTTGGATGAACTTTTAGAAACTCAGAGGAGATTCCAAGAAGAGAAGAAAATGGCTGAGAAAAAAATAATGGAAGAAAGGGAAATAACTCAGATTGCCTTAGCAGAGTTAGAAATAGCTCAGAAAAGAGCTCAGGAGGAACAGGTAAGGGCTGAGAATGCATTGGAGGCTGCAGAAAGAGCCCATAAATGTGTCCTGAATGAACAGAGGAAAGTTCAGTTAGCTATTCAAGAACAAGAGCGAGCATGGAAAAAATCACAAGAAGAAAAGGAAATGGCTGAGGCAAGACTAGAAGAACTCTTAAGAACCCAGAAAACTTTCCAAGAGGAACAGAAGAAGGCAGAAACGACAATCATAGAAGAAAGAGAGAGACTTCAAAAAAACATTAAACAATTTGAAGAAGTCCAGAAGAGAGCTCAGGAGGAACAGGAGAAGGCCCAGACATCTCAGCATGCTCTAGAGATTGCCAATGAACAGGCTCTAGAGCAACAGAAGAAGACTCATTTGGCTGCCATGATGGAACAGGAAGAAGCACAGAAAAAATCTGAGGAAGAAAAAAAAATGGCTGAAGCAGCCCTAGAAAATCTCTTGAAACAAGTAGAAAAGGAGCAAGAAACAGCTGAGAAAAAGGCAATAGAAGAAAGAGAGAAAGCTAAGACATTGCTAAAAGAATTAGAAATTGCTCAGAAGGAGGCCCTAGAAAATATATTGACAGCTAAAAAGAAGAGTCTGGAAGAACAGAAAAGAGCTCAAAACGCTTTGGACAGCCTGGAAAGAACTCAAAAGCAGGCATTAGAGGAACAAAGAGATGCTCAAAGGAAATCTCAGGAAGAAAGAAAAATGGCTGAGGCTGCTTTGGAAGAATTATCAAGAGTTCAGAAAAAGATCCAGGAAGAGCAGTATTCAGCAGAGCAGAAAGCAATTAGAGAGAGAGAGAAAGCACAGAAAGAGTTAGAAGAATTAGAGAATGCCCGGAAGAAGGCCATGAAGGAACAGGAGAAAGCTCAAAAAACTCGGGATGTTCTTGAAAGAGCTAATAAGCAGGCACTGGAAGAACAGAAGAAAGCACTAAAGAAAATTCAAGAGGAAAAAAGGCTGGCTGAAGATGCTCTGCAAGAACTCTTAAGAACCCAGAAAACATTCAATGAAGAACAGGAAAAGGTTAAGAAGAAAACAAAGAAAGAAAATGAGAGGACTCAGAAGATTATAGAAGAATTGGAAGTTGCTCAGAAAAAAACTCAGGAAGAAGAGGAAAAAGCTCAGAAGGCTTTGGAAAGGGCTCATAAAGAAATCCTAGAGGAGCAGAAGAAAGTTCAGAGAGCTGCTATGGAAGAACTGGAGCAAGCACGAAAAAAGTGTCAAGAAGAAAAGAAGATGTGTGAGACAGCTTTGGAAGAACTCTTGGAGACTAAGAAAAAATTCCAAGAAGAGCAGGAAATATCTAAGATGCAAGTAATGAAAGAATTAGAGAATGCACAGAAAGAGCTAGAAAAAATAAAAATAGCTCAAAAAGAGGCCTTGGAAAAAGAAGCGAATGCTAAGAAAGCTCTGGCTAATATAGAAAGAGCTTACACTCAGGCCCTAGAGGAACAAATGAAAGTGCAGCAAAAGTGTCAAGATGGGAAAAAAATGGCTGAGGCAGCCCTGGATGAACTCTCAAATGCTCAAAGACAATATCAAGAAGAACAGGAAAAAGCTGAGCAAAAAGCAACCAGAGAAAAAGAAATAATTAATATGAAACTAAAAGAATTGGAGATTGCTCAGACAGTGGCTCTGGAGAAAGAGGAAAATGCTCAGAAAGCTTTGGATGCTCTGGAAAAGGCTCACAAGCAGACCCTGGAGGAGCAAAAGAAAGCCCGGATGGAAATGGAAAAAATACAAAAAAAATATGAGGAAGAAAGGAAAATGACAGAAACTGCTCTGAAAAAATTGTCATGGGCAGAGAGAAGCATCCAAAATGAGCAGGGAAGTACAATGGAAGGGACAATTGGAGAAACAGGAAAGTCACAGAAGACCTTAGAAGAATTAGAGATTGCATGGAAGAAGGCACTGAAAGAAAAGGAGAATGCTCAGATAGCTTTGGAGGCTCTGGAAAGAACTCATAAACAAATACTGGAGAAAGAAGAAAAAGCACAAAAAAAGTCTCAAGAAGAAAAGCAATTGGCTGAGGCTGCCCTAGGAGAACTTATAAGAACTCAGAAAAAGTTTCAAAAACAAAAAGAAAGAGCTGAAAGAAAAGCCAAGGAAGAAAGGGAAAATGTGCAGAAGTCTCTAGAACAATTAGCAGTTGCTCAAAAAAGAGCTCTAGAGGACTTGGCAATAGCTCAAAAGATGGCTATGGAGGAAAATGAAAGAACACAGCAGAGGGCATTCGAAGAAAAAAGGGCAATACATCTGGCTATGAAAAAGCTGGAGGCAGCACATGCTAAAGCTATAGAAGAACAACAGATAGCACAGAGGCTGGCCTTTGCAGAGCAGCAGAGAACTAAGGAGATGTTTGTTAACTTAGAGGAATCACGAAGAAAAGCCCTTGAAGATCAAGAAGAAGCAAAAAGGAAAGCTGTAGATGAACAAGTAAGAGCTCATCATGCTATAAATGAATTGGCCAAGATACAAAGGGAAGTTTTGGAAGAACAAGAGCAAGCACAGAAGATAGCTTTAGCAGAACAGCACAAGGCTGAGATGATGTTTAAGGAGCTAGAAGAAAGACAGAAAAAAGTCCTCAATGATCAACCGAGAACATGGATGAAGGACTTTGATGATAAAAAAAATGCTCATGTTACTTTAGGAGAAGTTGCAAACACTCAAATGGTGGAACAGGTGAATGTTCATGCTAATACAGTAGATGAGCAGAAGGAAGCTCATAAAGCTAGCAAACTGGAGAAAGCAAAGAATCCAATATTGGAAAAAACACATAATAAACATGCAGCACAATTTTCTGAGTCTGTTCTAAAAACAGTGAATGAAGAGGGCACTGCAGTATGTGACAGTGAATTTGAGGAAGCACAAAAGAAAGACTTGATCATTCTTGGTGGTAAAAAGTTCTATATGGAGCCAGGAAAAATTCTTAGGGATTTAGACAAGAAGGAATGCCAGCAATCCATTAGGAACAGAGGATATGACAAGAATTCTCGAAGACCACTCCCAAACTCTGTCTTGGACTTTTTCCCAAACTGACTAAATTCTAGAATTCTGATCCTGAATGAAAGTTAGAGAAAGGATGGATCAATCTTAAGGTCATCTGCAACCCTTAATGGAAGTAAAAATGGGAAGGAAGAAATAAGGAGAGAATGTTTCTATTTTTAAAGGTTCTTCCCCCATAAACGGTATACTTTGTTTAGGATTAAATTAACACCCATAGCATTAGGTACAGAGGTGGGTTTCTGCCGGTTCGTCCCAGATCGGGTGAACAGGTAGTGGCAGCAGCGGGAGGCTCCACCCACTCACCAGGATGCTTCTGCGCAAGCACAGAAGCATCATACGAGCATACGCACGCGTACGAGCAAACCAGTAGTAAAATAAATTGAAACTCACCACTGATTAGGTACAAATTTTTATAAACATTCAAGGTTTGGAAATGCTTCAGACAATTTATTCATGGGGAGGAGTCAAAACTATGTTGGCTGTTTTTCCATTCATCCAATGTAGATTTTTAGAACAGGAAATGTTTAAATATTGACCTAACAAATTCATTATATTTCACCACCAGTATCCAGCCTGGATTCTTTTTAATCATGCCATAAAATGAGAACTAAATAAAATTACTGGCCTTTAGATTTAGTATTCTCTAATTTGATTCAATTAAATTTTAAAACGTGTCACTGTGAAAAATTCCATAAACATTGTTTATTCTAATAAACTAAATAAAAGTAATTGGATTCAGATTTTTTTTAAAAAAATATGAAAACATTGAGCATTTATAGATTACATATCTCATACAGTTTAATGTTCAATTTTTTCATGTTTCAACAGTGAGAAGTTCTTTCAAAAGAACTTTTAGCAGATTTTATCAGAAAACTCCTTTCATAACAGCAGGATTGCCCATTAAACCTTACACTCTAAAAGTAGATGTGAGTAGTGGATGTATTTTTTGTCATCAAAACATTTCTTTTGAAGTTAGAAAATAATCCGCGTGAAGCAGATTTAACAAATCTAATCTTTTCTTTTGGGGAATGAGCTTAGCAAGATTTTCTTTAAAAGTAAATTCCAAGTTAATTTGCTTTCTTATTTTAGTAGGCTAGCACGCCATTCCAAATACTAATCAAATCTAAGCATCTTACATTAAGTATACATAAATAATCTCCAAATATAATCCAAATGTAAATAACAAAAAAAAATAAAAGTAGTGGTGAATATCTCTAGCTTGGATGTAGAATGAGGTGAAGGTTCATTTTCTGAGATTATGGGTTGTTTGTTCGATGGTTTCCTGGTTTCTGAACGTAGCCTGGCAACAGAACTTTTGGAAAACAATCCACAAACTCGGAAAACAAACCTTCACCCTCACCACATAAAAGTGTTGCTCCCACACATTTCCTGACAAAACTATCCCTCCAAACACCAGAAGAGCTCTCACACTTGCTCGTTGTAATATCACCCTGTTCATCCTGTTGGTTCTATAATGCACCAAAAGACCTGCAGCACTGTCATATTATTATTTTTCTAAATGCTATTGAACTAAATGTTGTTATAACTAAATGTCATAATTATGTTTAATTACTATAAGAGAATAACTTTTTCTTATCAATGGCAAAACTTTTGGATTACTGATTATGGATTATATATTAAAATACACTATTTTTCTTGGAAAATTAATTTGTAACCTACATTTCAAATATGGGCACTAGGTGGCATTATAGCTTGCATAAAACAAAATGACAACAATACAGTAATGCTCTCTTGAATCTAAGTTTGGAGTTTTTTTTACAGAACCAACTTTCATGAACTGTTTATATTGGTGTAAAATTGTTCATTGTTGTTATTCAACAACAGTGCTCACTTTCATATATTTTTAATATGAAAACTGTAGTGAAAGTATATTTCATACCGTATACTGTAGATTCAAGAAGAGTCTGGACAGCCTTCCATGTGGTATCAGGCACTGACCAACCTGATCACATTATCTGCTGTTTAAATTGGAGTGGACTGATATAAATTGGGGGCCTTTGCTTCATTGAAGCTTGGCTTAAACTCCCAAATATAACAAATTGAAGCAGAATTCTTTCCTTAGATTCAAACTTGGGTGAGCAACGGGAAGACAGAAAGAAGCTCCTTTCACCAGATAGTGTTGTAGAAAAAACAGGACACGCAAGCCAGCTCTTCAGGGAAGGAATAGTTTATTTCGCAAGGTCAGAGACAAAAGCCTGAACCCCAAGTGACAGGCAGGAAATCCCTTATATAGTTTAGATAAAGCCATCTGTTAGTTTTGGAAACACCCCTCAAGATTTGCCCTTTACAGCAATATTATGTCTACAGGAAGTCATAATACATAGTCAGCTAACGGAGCAGAGGAGCTCGTATTTTGAGGAAGTTAAATGTGTCTTCCAGACACATTTCAGCAAATACATTAAAATGGAGACTTTGCCTCAGCAGGTTTCATGCGCCTCTAACCTGTGTCTAACCGCACCATGTCCTAAAAGCAAACCTTTGCAATTTCTATGTATGCACAGTTAAAGCTTAA